ATTCCTGCTTAAACTCATGTAAATTCAGGGTAACTCCACCCAAAAGCAAAAACAGAATGAAGCCCAAATGCCGCCTTTATTGCATCCTTTGAAAGTTGAAAATGCAACAGACTTGGGAAAACAGACGTGCATCTGTAGCAGTGAGTAAGGGTTAAAGTTTGGTTCCTTGGTCATTGAAATTGTTTCTTTTTCTGACAAAACAGCGATTATGGATACGAGCGTCACAGCAATGGCCAGTGTTTACCAGCATTTTGGTATAACCCATCCTCCTTATCGAAAGACTGTAGCCTCGGACAGAGTTATCTCAACAGCACCGGGTAAGTGGCCAGAGAAAAGGGTGAGTTGAAGAAACCCAAGTGTATAGCCCTTAGCCAGACTGACAATCCACTCTGATTCACAGTTGTTTGAAGAAAATGAGATTCTGTTAACTGACTTCAGTGACCTGTGGCTAAGGCCCTATCGTTCTCTAGTTTTAGATACTTCATCTGGCTTCTGATTAAATGGCACTATGAGGGACATGTGAGATGTAAGAGCATGGAGCTAACAGTGAGCTAAAAAGGGGCTAGGACTTGCTATCTGTATGTCAACCATTCCCTTGTAACTCTGAATACCAATGGTTCTCTGGTACAAAGATACTTTTGAGGAAGTCAGGAGTACATTCACATCAGAAGAGGTCACATCTACATGTGCACTTTAATGCACATTAGCCTATTGTAATGTGCTTTAGAGCATCACTAAAAACCCATGCTATTTGGCTAATGAATATTAAAATAGGCTGATGAGCATTAAATGTCATTTAAAAACCTTGTTTTTTAGTTCATGCGCATTAAGACAGGCTAATGCACATTTTCTTAGTACCTCACAATGGGGGGTGCCTGTACACGAGTGTGGAGGCTGCTCCGACGCTTCAAAGCAGACTCGATTAATCGTGCTCCAGCAGCCTCCTACATCTCATGTATCAGTGTCCCTGCGACACCACTAAACAAGCTTTAGTTCAAATGCTCCCACTGCCATTTTGAAGTGGAGGTTTGCTGAAGCACGAGATGCTAGAGCAGTTTAATTAGAGCGCCTCTTAGAGCCTCCCTAATTAAAGCGCCTCCCACCCTCCACCCCTGGAGCATGTGTAAAAGTGCCCGGAGGTACTAGATTTAATGCACATTTACTAAAGCATGTCAATGCATGTGTAGATGCACCCAGAGAGGGTTCCTCCAGTGTACATATCGCATGTCTACTGTCATTATTAATTGCCGTCCATGAGCAGCCATTTCTTTAGTGCCAGGCCCTGTCACCTGTTGGCCGGATACCGTAATAGCACCGATTTCAGGCATTTTGGCAGAGCCAGCTGCATACCCAATCTTTTCTACAGACTAAACATGCTGCAATTATCCAGGGTAAATTACCCCGGAGTAAAGAGGCTGTGTGTCCACATCCTAAAATCATAAAGTGCCCCAGCCTTTCAAGGGCTCACTAGCTGCTCAAAACAGGCCAGTTTTCTGGCATATTTTCTTCAGCTCTGATGCACACAACGTTGTCACGTCCATGGCTCCAGCGCACACTCTGCTTTCTACCAGCAACATCATCTCTTTGAAATGTGGTAACGACATCAAAAACACACTTAAAAGAGAAAAACTAAATAGAGGGGACTTGGGGTTAACAACATACACAGCATCTTACAGAGGAAAGGAAAATTTTCTTGAGAGATTTACTATGTGCTATGTATTGGATAAACACAACTCTGCTGCACTCTACTGACTAGCCTTTGTTAAGGTCAAAAGCCTGTTTTCATATTCTCTTTCCTTTGTGATAAAAATGTAATAACTGACATAGTTATGTAGCATTTTTCATCGAAGAGAATCACCATTTTTCAGATGCGTGAGGGAAAAAAAGAAGTCCTGCTTTCCAGCTTTGCACAAGTCCTAAAAAAAACCTAATGGTCCTCAACTGCCATGTTGTACTGTATGTCCTCAGCATCTGATGCAAGACGCAGCAACCTTTAGGCTTCTCTGCTTTGTATTCAAATCAGTACCCTCATGGCCACAAGCTATACAGATGTGTTTTTAAGTCAGCTGCACTCCTGAGCTGGGCCAAATACTCCAGCTTTAGCTTAGGATCTGGACAGCGAATTGTATGAAGTAGTAAAACAGAGAAGTGGGACTCTAGGTTTCTTAATTCTAATTCTGGCTTTGTCCCTGATCTATCCTGCAGTGTCTGTATACTATAATTTACACTGGAACTTACCTATATGAAAAACAGATGTGCAGCTATGTAGTGTAGCTCGCTGAAATAATCCAAGACATAATAAATGCTTCTGAAAAGCATTGAGAACTTTGGGTGACAAGTATAAAAAATGGGAAATGAGTGGAGAGCCTTGCTTCACGGAGGCTGGGGTTCAGGATGAGAGCTGATGGCACGCCCAGCTGTACCACGCAACACGTTAAGGGAGCAGTGAAGGACAATGCTGTAGTCAGGTGAAAAGGCAACTTATTCTGCATGTCTACAACAGGCGAGCAGCCTGTCAGACTGGACTAATTACATACCGAGTATTTAAAAGCTGGTTTACTCCTAAATTTCAGACACAAACCAAATGTGGGAATGCCTCCCTGTGCTTGGTTTGACTTAGGGACTTGCCATGGGGGAAGCCAATGTCTCTTCATGTACATAAAGCTTTTTTGTTGCAGGTACAGGAAAGTTGTGTCTAACAACTGCACCGATGGCGTGAGAGAACAGTATACAGCTAAGCCACAGCAGTGTCCTGGAAAGGCCCCGCGGGGACTTCGCATTGTCACCTCGGATGGCAAGCTGACAGCAGAGCAAGGGCACAACGTTACCTTCATGGTGCAACTGGAGGAGGTAGGATCTATTTTTATGTGGCCTCCTGGGTCTGAACAATGCCAGCGGCAGGCATTTACTAGGTACATCTATACTTTCATTAACGTGCCTTAGTACTTTATTAAGCAAGTACTAAACTAAATGCACAGATCTAACTAAATGCGCAGTAACTAGAATTACTGTGCAGTAGCGCTGGTGCATGGTTATTTTGAGACGTTTACTGTGCATTAGTCTAATAACACTGTTCAGTAAGCTATTAGCACAGTTTTTAACCAGCATGCTACTTTGTGTATCACCATGCTAATGTGTGTATCAAAGGCAGTTTGGCTATGGTAGCATGGGCACCATACAGAGAAGGAGGGTGAATTAGACTGCATTGAACTCCATGTTGCTATTACTAGACTGCTCCTAGTACATGAACAAGCTCAGATATGTTGTAGTGTGGACACGCCCTCAGTAACATAAGATGATTCATAGATTCATTGATGTTAGGGTCAGAAGGGACCTCAGTAAGTCATTGAGTCCGATCCCCTGCCCTGGGCAGGAAAAAGCACGGGGGTCAGACGACCCCAGCAAGGTGCTTATCTAGTCTCCTCTTGAAGACCCCCAACGTAGGTGGGTCATCCCCTACTTACAGGCTGGGTGTGACCTTCTCAGCAGCACAGTAGCGGAAAGGGATTTTGGAGTCATGTTCATCTTGGAGTCAACTATGAGTTGTCAATGTGACAAAGTGATCAATAATGCTAACCGCACTTTATCGTGCATTAGCAGATGCATGATGATCAGGTCCAGGGAGGTGATGCCTCACCAGGGATGGGATGTGGGACTCAAGCTCTAGTTTAGTATTTCATCCCCCATTCCTGGAGAAGGTTATGCATTACTACAAAAGCTGTCTGCATACCTTAAATTCAGTTCCTTCCAACACGGGCAAGAGGTAGGTATCATAAATAAGACCTTTCCCTGCTTAATTTTGTCCTGATCTGCGGAGGCATACAGAGTAACACAAACAGGACTTGGGGCCAATACAAGCTGTATTCTGCTCAGTCTGTGCTGAAGAGGAGAGCATGAAGGACATCAAAATGGGTCAAATGATGTATGCATGCATGTGTGATTATGCTCAGAGACATGTGACTGAGTACCCCCCTGTCCCCTTCTACATGTTACACAGGTCACGCAGTTAATTGTGCAATTCATTTAGACTGGCTGCACGTGCTAATGAACTATCATGCCTTAAAAAGTCCAACCAGCTATAAAGTTATTGCCGGAAAATGTTTAACAACTTTAGAGCTGGTATATATCCAGCTTTAATTTGCACATGTAGCAGGCTGGGAGTCCCATCAGCTGACCAGGCTCCCAGCCACAGCGGTGCACCATGTGTAGCTGGGGCCGAGAGTCCTGTAGCCAAGGGGATTGTCAACCCTGGAGTACCCTGCAGCTGCTGCAAATGTGTGGCGTGGCATGGCATGAGGTGCAATTGTATGGCTTGCACAGCAGATTATCTATCACACCTTTACCTGAACATCTGGAGGTGCCCTGACCGAGACAAATGACTCAGTTCTTTCCGCTCCAAGAGGCACGTTCTAGTCAAGCCTTTATTCCAGAAGTGAATGCCAAGACTCGTAACCCTTGTCCAGAATGGACCACTTCCTTCTCTTCTACCAAACTTACCAGCTATTGGATCCAAAAAAGTGAGTTCCCATCATACACCTTTGCTTCTTAAGAGCTTCCCCTGCCCTCGGAGAGCATGTGTTTGAAGCCCTTCGGTACTTATCATCACGTCATGTATTGTGTCTTTCCAGCTGTCTGTGTTCATACAGTATTCCCTTTGACACAAAAGAACTAGAAATAGGAGCAAAAAAGACATAAAGCTGCTGAGCAAAGGAGAGAGACGTCTGAGATCTGTACAGCTGTTGATTTTCTAGGTCTAGTCACCCTATGTATGGAGCCATCTGAGACTGGGGAGAAGAGAGGACTTTGTATGCCAACTCACGAATGTCCCTAAAAAAGGGGATTAACTTTAATATGCAGGATGACTAAGAAAAAGAGGGAATGGCAAACAGCAGCAGCGAAGAACATGAGGTCACCCTATAAACACACAGTGGGCATCGGAGCCCTGGAGGTCTTGGGTCCCATTAGCTTCACAATGGTGATCAAACCCAGCATTTTGGAATACATCTGCCTGATACCATAGCCGTGTCAGTGGAGGATGTACAAAGAGGAGTAAGGAAAAGCAATTTAAAAACAGGCTGTGATGATATGCCAAGGACAGAGGAATCTCATTGTCATTGTCAATCACAAATTGGTGTTCAGAGGAAATGAAGAAATGGGAGAACCTCTCGAGGGCCTGTCCATTCTTCTCAAGACCTGGGAGGAAACCTCTGTGGTCCAAATCATGACTCAGGGTCGTTACTCCATTGATTTTAATGGAGCTTATCTAATTTACACTTGCTGAGCATATAAACCTATTTTTTCTTCTATGTGCACTTATGCCGTTTCTCTGGAGACAAATTACAAGTGGTAACGTCATAACAAACATGATTGATCTTAACCAAAAAAAAACATTTTCTAATGTAGCATAAGTATTCCAGGATGCATCTGCCCACCAGTTTTCCTGTCACTTTTTTTTTCTGGCTACTTTAAAATGTTTCTTAGGAACAGCTTATGAATAACTTATTCCAAAAATGTTAATAAAACTCAGCTTGAAACAAACATCCTTAAAAGTCTAATTATGGGAAAGATTTCACCCAGTTGAATTCATCTGCCTTTGGATGTAGTCACTGACGTGGAAGAAAGCAGCAAGGGGCCATCAATAAATGTTTATCAGAATGGCTTAACATTTCCATTGTCATTTATCAGTCAGTCCCACGCACAATGAAACCCCTACCTGGTACTAAAGCAGTGTCACACAGCCCGGGGAGAGTTTTCTCCAGCTGGATGCTCACCAGGCCACTGTCTTTTCATCCCATCACACTGGACCCATGTGCTCTTGGCCTGAGCAGGCTGCAGAATGGCCTCTTCCTGCCCCCGTTGGCACACGCTTTCTGTTTGTCACCTTCTCAGAAATGGGATCCATATATCCCAATCTGCAATGGGCTTCCAAGGGAGGTGGTGCTCTCCCCTACCTTTGGGGTCTTCAAGAGGAGACTAGACAAGCACCTGGCTGGGGTCATCTGACCCCAGCGCTCTTTCCAGCCCAGAGCAGGGGGTCAGACTCGATGACCTACTGATGTCCCTTCTGACCCTAACATCTATGAATCTGTGAATCGTAGTTTCCCTGGGCAAGTTCTAACACTTACTCCTGACTTTAGCTAGCACAAGAGACATGTAGCCACAAGAAGATGTAGCCAGCACAATAAGGCATGGGTAGGGATTCCTCCACCACAGTTTCCTCCCTGCTCTACAGTGCTCTTTTGGCTGCCATAAGTGCCTTTAAGGCATCTAGATATGTGTCCCTGAACCTGGCTTCTCCTCTGGATCATGGACTCTTGCTCTCTCCCTCTTGTAGAGCAGCTTTTCTTCCTCCTTGCCTGGCCACCCATTTGACACGATTCTTCAATTATGAAGCAAGCCTTGTGTTCTCCTCCAGCTTTCTTCTTCTGTACAAGTCCATTTGAATTTTTCCTTCTCTCGGACCTTCTCACGGACCTCCTGTCACACTTTGAACTTCTTTCATGCCTTGGAGATCCCAGACCAGCAGAGACTCCCCATGCCTGAAGAAGGGTGATTGCACCCGAAAGCTTGCCAAGAACTTTTTTTTCCCAACTGCTCAGTTGGTCTAATAAAAGATTCACATCTACCCAATGGACTGATATCACATCTACCCAATGGACCTCAGCTGCCCCTCTCCCTTAATTTCTGGGTTTTTTTAAGACCCATTTGATGTCTCCAGTTTCCTGTTGGGAGATTAGTGCTGCCCAAACTCCATTCCCCCTTAGGACCAAATTGGTTTAATCTAGGACATGACCACTTCCTTGTCTCAAGGTGCTCCTCTTTATATGCGACCCATCAAGGTTCAATGACTTTCCTTTGTCCTTGGTCTGGGAGATTAGTGAGACAATCCTAACTGCATAGGGCTGACTCCAGATAGACTCAGGCATTCAGCAACAGAGCCATTTCATCACCTTGCAAAAGATTTTACTTGTGGCTGTGAATGAATTATTTTTTTCTTACAGCGACAAGATAATTTCCCAGCTCGTTTTTTTTTTTTTTTTTTGGCCCAACCCCCCTGATAAGTTTAGCAAGTGCCCTGCACAAGTTACAAGCACTTCATTAAACAGTCTGTGTTTCAGTGAGGTTTTCTCCCCCCACCCCACCCCGTGCTCGCTCATGTATGCAGCCTGTCTGTCACAAAACCAATCAGTTTGCATAAGGAACATCAGACTTTTGTAGCATTTTCAGAATTGCTTCTGAAGTGGTGCTAAAATCAGTGGCCTTCGGAACAACGCTTTCTAACAGAATAGCTTTAAAACTTGTCTCACCCGATTGCTCATACATCTCTGCTGAGCAAATGAATGGTAAATACATTAAGGGCTGAGAGGTTCTGGGCTTTGGTTGTTTCATTACAGATAATTCATACAGAAATTGCTTCAGCTAATTTATTTTTTATCTCGATAAAATGACAGCGAAAAAGTTTTGATATTCAGGGCCTGATTCTCCTCTCGCCAACATCACTCCACTGGGAGAAAGCCTTAGATTCATAGATGTTAGGGTTGGAAGGGGCCTCAATAGATCATCGAGTCCGACCCCCTGCATAGGCAGGGAAGAGGGCTGGGGCTAGATGACCCCAGATAGATGGTTATCTAACCTCCTCTTGAAGCCCCCCAGGGTAGGGGAGAGCACCACCTCCCTTGGGAGCCCGTTCCAGACCCTGGCCACTCGAACTGTGAAGAAGTTCTTCCTAATGTCCAGTCTAAATCTGCTCTCTCCTAGCTTGTGGCCATTATTTCTTGTAACCCCTAGGGGCACCTTGGTGAATAACCCCCTTGGTCTGCCTCTATTTTATGCTGCTAAGACTAAAGATG